TTAATCAGATGTGTCTAACAAATACATTTATATACATTTATGAAGATTAATCCCATATATCTGAAGTCTAATTTACTTTCTGACTATAAGAATCAAGATGTCAGATGAATGTATTGAGCAGTATTCACTTAGTAACTTTAAAGACACCCTTTACTCTCATTTGTTTACCCAGTTCAAATTGAACCTTTTAAATCATGTGAGTCAAAGGTATTTGGATCCATATTTTTGAATTTTATTTTATGAGTGCTCTATATGTTGGTTTTGATACACAAACATATGTAGACAAGACAATACACTGAACAAGCCAGCAAAGGCCTTATAGCTTTTTAAAACCTGTTAGATTAAGAGTCAACCTTTGTATATTGGCTTCTGAACAAAACAGAGTGTAAAAAAACCTTTATAGTTGCATAAAATACATCTTATTAGAAATTTTATCTTAGGCATGCAGAATCCAAATTATGAGCTCCAAAAATATAGAATTTATATAGTCCTAGAAAAAATAATATGGCCATTAATTTATTTCAGTAAAGTAATATGAGAGCAAGAAAGAGAGAGAGGAGTGGGGAGGGCTGAAATAATTTTTCTGTGTCACATCCAGGGAAAAGTTAAATGGACACTTTTTTTCTTTAGTTTCAGGCCTCATATTGAGCTCTCCTTGTGCATTCCAATGCAAACTTCAGTTCAGTCTGGCCTGGGAGATGGCTGATTAGGGCTTTTTAACCCTTTATTTCCCTGGTTGATAATCAGGCCAAGTTTGGAAGCAGAAAATTATGAAACATTATTTCCCATTACTTTTGAGGAGTGACGCTATTATGTCATGCTCCTTACTGAGACATGCCACAAACTGTTGGGCTGGTCAGGGTTAAGGGAGGACATTTACCAGCTAGTTATGCCCTTAAAATCTCTTCAGAAGGGGAATATTTGCCTGCTGCTTGGGCATTCACCATCCCTGTAACATGGGGCTCCTAGGATGTGTTAGGAGACTTGGGAAGCTGACTGCACTCTCTCCAGGTACGTAATGCATTCCTGCACAGAGGTTTAAAGACCTTCATGGGTGTTGCTCATCAGGCAGAGGGCCTGTGGGGAGTAGGGGAAGGGCCCGCAGATCTTGACTCCCCCAGATTCTGCACCCACCTTGGGGCTCCTACTGTGTCTCAAAAGTTGGTGGCTACTAGGAGGGGTTTTCCCTGGGAACAATCTACTTTCCATTGTCCCTGCTACCCATAGTTGAGACAGGGCTTGGTACATTTGGTAACTGACCACCTTGCCATTCTGTAAATTTTAGACAATTTTGCCAATTGATAATAGGTAATTTTTAAATTTTGGAGATCAAATTTCTTGATCAAAGGTTTCATACTTGAGCTGTTATTGCTGATTATCTAATTTGTATTGTGGCCAAATTTGAGTGTTGTCCTTAATAAGGCATTTAATTTTGAGGTCAGTTTGGGAGTAGAGGGTCTTAAAATCGGTAGAAAGACAGACTGGGTAGTTCCCATATTTCGAGAGATTTGACGGAGGTGACAGTTTAGGGCAGAGCATCTTCTGCACTATTTTGTCACTAGTGTGCCAGTCCTGGACTGGACTTTTCCCACTGGGGATTGGGGAAACGTTTTTACCCCAATCTCAGTGGTGGGGGAACCTCAGGGTTCCCGTTAGCCAAAAGGCTGGCCAAAAGGTGGAGTCTCAGAGCAGGATACTTATCTGCTAGAGACAGGATGGAGTCTAATCCTCTCTGGCGAATGTAAAGGCTGGTGTTGAATGTAGGAACAAAATGGAAAGGAGGTCTCTGATCCGTGAGATTTGCTGGGTGTGTAAGGGAAGGAAAGATTGGGGAGGCAAAGAAGGGTGTGGGAAGGGGGTCAGAAAGTGGATGCCCTCAGCATCAATAAAGGATTCAGTACAAATCCTTGCTCTGACCTCGTAGAATAGGCCGCTGAAACCTAGCCCAGGGTTGCTTACGGGCAGGAGCCTTTCAGTCAAAGTGGACTCAGAGGTGTGGAGGGTCTTTTTCTGTAGGGTGGGGAGGGCGGTGAGGGGGGCAGTCAGTCTGAGGATGCAGCTATAGCTGCATGAGCCATGGCCGGGGGTTCCCCCAACCTTAGAGATCCTTGGGTGTGCCAGATGCTTCAATGGTTATTTAACTGCAGGGGAAGGGGAAGGGTGAGGGAGGATGGGGAAGGGTTAATTTCACTTTACTCCTGTTCTGGTCCAGGAACCAAATATTAGCACAAGAGGAACTGGTCAGACGCAAACTCCACAGTTCATCTCAGCCTTTTATTCAGGAACAGGAATAGGCCCACTCTGGAAAATGAGCCCCTAAACAAAGGAAGGGACTGGCTTATATAGGTTATACTGAGAAGTGACTTAATTAATGAGCATGTCAGCTTGGGCACTCAGGAATTTGAGGTCTATTTTACTGGGCAAAATGGGAGGGAGTGTGGGTGGGGTCACTGGTCAGTCTCTGGATTTATCTTCCTGGACCAGATGGAGGGCCTGGGGTCAGGGGTTGATATGTGGAAAGGATTTGTTTAGGGAAGGATTACCTTCCTAGGTTTGATGGACACTCCTCCCCAAGGTTTGTTTTTATCACTGGGAAAGAATGTATTGGGAAAGGATCGATGCTGTCAGTGTATGGCTTTCTTTCTCACTCACCTTTTTCCAGGTCTCACTATTTTAGGGGTTTGTCATTTTCCATATGTAATATAGAGCATCTTGCTGGCACCCACCCACTTTGCTCAGCCCAGACTTCCACCAGAGGCGCGCAACCCTGCCTCAGCCTCAGATTTGCGCTCAGGTCTCCGCCACTGCCTCTGCAGCTTCCGGGTCTGGCCCCTCATGCTGCCGCCACACTTTATCTCCACCCCACTGCTGCTGCCACCTTCTACGCAGCCTCTTCTCTCTGGGCAATCTTGCAGCCACCAAACACTGAGAAGCAGAGACTCCAGCCACTTGGGCAGGGAACTCCCCTGCTAGGGGAACAAGGTGGTCAGAACACAGGCAGCTTTTCAGCTGTTGAGTGGGAGCACACTATTTTATTCGCTAATCTGCAGAGATTAGGACATTCTAAAAGAACAGAAAAAGAAGAGCATCTACTGCCTTTGAATTGTCATAATTTCCCCCTGTTAATAGATTCCTAGTTAATGGAATTGTAATCTGAATAACCATTTCTAATAATTTTTCTTTCTTTTATCTATCTATCTTTCTATCTAGCTATGTGTGGAGAACACTGGGGATTGAACCCAGGGCTTCACACATGCTAAGCATGCACCCCACCACTGAGCTGTAACCCCAGCTCTCTGATAATTTTTTTAAAAAAGTCTTGAACTTGAAAAAAAGTTGCGAATACAGTATAAAGAATTGTTCTTCCTTGAGTCATATTTAGTAGGTTTCTGACATGATACCACATCACCCTGAAATATTTTAATGTATAGTTCCTACAAAGAAGGACATTCTCCTATATAATCACAATACAACCATCAAAATCAAGAAATTATTACTGATATGTTATACTGTCTAATCCTCAGAACCCATTCAACTTTGGCCAATAATTCTTTATGGCAGAAAAGATCCAATTCTGAATCACATGTTATATTTAATTGTTGTGTCAGGAATAATTCCTCAATCTTTCCTTGACCTTAATAACCTTGACATTTTAAAGGTATAGGCCAGTTCTTTTGTAGATTGTCCCCCTATTTGTGTTTGTCTGATGCTTTTTCATGATTAGCTTCAGGATATGCATCTTTACAGGAATGTTACAGAAGGTATGCTCTTATTGCAAGTGGTACATGATTTTGATTTATTCCATTACTGATAACGTAAGCTTTGATTACTTGATGAAGGTGATGTTTGCCAGACTTCCATACTGTTACTACTTTTGCCTTTGTAGTAGATAAGTACCTTATAGAGAGGCACTTTAAGACCTTGTAAATATCCCATTCTTCATCAAACTTTCAATTTATTATTTTTAAATCACTGAGGACTCAGATTCTTATTTTATTGAGGGATTTATTTCACTATCATTTATTTTGATGCTCAAATCATTCCAGTCTTTAATTCCTTCAAGCTAATCCACACTTTGGAAATAGCCCATTCTGCTTGTTTGTATTCTTTTTTTTTTTTCACTTATCCAAGTGAGAAACCTGGGTTTATTCATGTCTTGTCAAGTTTACCTTATTAGCTCTTGAATCTTTTCTCATTTCTACTACTATTGTCATAGTAGGACACTGTCATAGGTCAGACCCACATGATTTCTGGGAACCAGAAAGGCTCTCAAATGGAGTTTCTTGCTTTTAGTCTCTCTTGCTTCCAGTGTGACCTTTAGCAGATGCATGGATGGAAGGATTTAATATTACTCAAGAAATATTTATTGAGCCTATACCCTCTTCTGAGGGTAGGTGATAGACATTTGAATGGATCATGGGGGGGGGGACCAAGTAAGCCAATTAACAAGTAATTACAATACAACTTTAAATGAGTTAACATTTGTAAGGTGCATATAATCATGATTGGCCTATATAAATGCTTATTAACATAATAAAGGATCATAGGACAGTGTGTGAGCCAAGGGTATTGGGAAGGGGGGATAACTAAGTGAAACAATTGCTTCATGATTAGAAGTCAAGAGGAAAATTGGTAGCTGAGTGCTTGTGATTTGCTTCTCTCTTTTGAAGATGTTTGCTTGATACTCAGACTCCTGTTGGGTTCTTATTCTAATTTAGGTACTGTTTCTCTATGGAGTGGTGCAGGACACTTGGTGGGCCTGGGCTTTGAACTTTGGTTTCTTCATTAAATCTAAAACTGAGGGTGCAGTCAGATTATAGGACCTCCAAGTATCTTCAGTTTATTAAATTCTTTGGACCTAGGTTAACATCAGTAGTGGAATATTGAATTTGGTCTTCAAAACAAGATAAGATTTTTTAAATGAATTTCCGGAGAAATTTGTAAATGATGAGAAATAATTTTGCTCTTCCTTTATTTGATGTTTTCCTGGTTTCCTACAGTTCTTGTTTGCTACATGCACACCAAAAATGATTCATTGAAGATGTCTCCTTTATCTATAGTTACAGCCTTGGTGGACAAGATTGGTAAGCAATATCAATATCTATAAATACTTAGAATTTTTAGTAATTATATTATTGATATTAGATGAAACAATCTCCTTTATGTGTAGTTTTAATGTATGTATGCATATTAAAATATCTAGAATGCAATATACCAAGATATTTATTATAATTAGGTAGGATTTTGCATGATTCCAGTTTTAATTTTTATATTTTTTGCATTGTCTACATTTCTCAAAATGACATAAAAATTTCTTTTGTATGTCAAAAAAGTTATTTTAGTTTTTAAGATAAGAAGAAATGTAGTAGAGTTTACCAAATCTTCAAATGATATTGTCCATTTACAGTACAGAAATTTCTTGGATATGGTTTGGACATGGATTGATTTCTGTTTTGCAGATATGTGTAAGAAAAGCTTAAGCCCAGAACAGGACATTAAATTCAGTGGCCATGTTAGCTGGGTTGGAAAGTCATCCATGGAAGTGAAGATGCAAATGTTCCAGGTACATATGTACGTGAAGATTGTCCACTGTTCAAATATAACCCTCTGTCTCAGCATAAGGAAAACTTGTTTACCTATCTGTATTAGTCAGCTTTGCATCACTGTGACAGAAAGACCTGACAAGAATGACTTAGAGAAGGAATAGTTTATTTTTGCTCATGGTTTCAGAGGTTCAGTTCCATAGCAGGTATGTAGCTCACTACTTCTAGATAAACAATTGAAAGTTCATGTTGGGCTGGGTATATAGTTCAGTGATAGAGCACTTGCTTAGCATGTGTGAGGCCCTGGGTTTAATTACCCGCACCACTGAAAAAAAAAAAAAAGAATGAAACATCATGGTACTTTAACAATAATATTCAACTCCATGTTAAGATGCTTGTTTCTCATTTTACCCAAGAAGCTTCATGAAAGTCTGAATTATGTTAGGGCTTCATCAATCCATGAATGGGATTGATTATTGTATTAATTTTCTAGGGCTGCTGTACTGCAAAGTACCACAAACTGTGGCTTAAAAACAATGGAAATTTATTATCTCATAGTTTGGAGGCTGTAAGTCCAAAATCAAGATGTCAGCAGGGCCATGTCCCCTCTGAAACTTGTGGGAGAGTATCCTTCCTTGTCTATTCTTTTTTTCTTGTACTTTGCTTGCAATCCTTGGTGATTCTTGGCTTGTAGCTGTAGTACTTTATTCATGATGATGCCTCCATCATCACATGGCTTAGTTCTCATGTCTGTGTCTCTGTGTCTTTTTTTTTTTTCTTGTTAGGACATCGATCATTGGATTAAGGGACCACCCTATTCCAGACCTCATCTTAACTGATTGTGTCTGCAACGATCCTATTTTCAAATAAAATCACATTCATGGATATGGGATTTAGGACTTCCACATACCTTTTTCAGGGACACAATTCAACCCTTAATAGTCATTTGGATAGCAGTGAGAGCTTCTCTGATGAGCAAAACTCAGAAGAGCTTTTTTTTAATATTTATTTTTTAGTTGTAATTGGACACAATACCTTTATTTTATTTATTCATTTTTATGTGGTGCTGAGGATCGAACCCAGGGCCTTGCATGTGCTAGGCAAGTGCTTTACTGCTGAGCCACAACCTCAGCGCCCAGAATAGCTTTTATAAACAAATGAAGAAAATTGACAAGAAAAAAGTATCTCAAAGAGGATAATAGCACAGAAATCAAAGAATTCAGAGTATGTCCAAGATTTCATTGTGAAAAATTTAAGAGTGACTTATTCAGTTATGCCAGGATATTCAATAGTTGTATTATCCAGATGCATTTTTTCTGCTATGGAATTATGAAGAATTTCATGTTTTAGTGGTTAAAAACTTCAGCTTTCAGGAAAAGCTGAAACTTGCTATTTAGTAGTTATTTGTCAAAATAGGTAAGTAATTTTTTAATTTGATATGGAATCCTTAAACTTCCATGATGTAATTAACAGTAATATTGTGTGTTTGTGTGTGTATGAGTACTGGGGATTGAACCCAGGACCTCATACTTGCTAGGCAAGTGTTCTACCACTGAGTTATATATCCTCAGCCCTAGTAATACTGTTTTTTTTTTAAATTTGTCCTTTCTTTTAGTAATACTATTTTTGAGACAAAACATAATAAAATTGCTAGGGATGTGTCTATAATTCGTCCACACTTTTAATTGCTAGCCTGTTCCCTGCCATGGACAGCACAATCTTGGCATAAGACCTACCTTCTAGGGAATCTTGACAATTTAACTCTTGGACAAATAGTTTGGAAAAAGATATACAGAAATTTTTTAGAGCATATCAATGAAAATCAGAGCTAGACAAGTAAAGGCCTTTGTTTTAAACTTGCATTTATCATTGGCCATTTGATAATAATTCATTACTTGAGTGATCTTTTTTATTCCTGAGAGGTGGCAGGGGTGATAAGCATTTTGCCTCTGGTTGGGTAGACCTGAGATATAATCCCAACTCTGCTGCTTATTTTTGGGTTAACAACTTATCTTCTCTAAGTCTCTATTTTCTCAAGTGTAGTCACAATACCATGTTATATGTTGTAGTATGGGTGAAATGAAGGAAAACCCCCCCATTTATACGAAGTGCTTAATGCTATGCCTGTCACACAGTAACCACTGTTGGCAGTAATGTTAATTTATTAGTAGTATTATTGAGGTATTCCCAAATCTTTATTCTAGACTTGACCTTCACAGCCACCTTTCTGAGTGTCCATTCTGTCTCTCCACCTTGATGTGCTATTGCTACCTCAAGTTCAGTGCCTTTCAGACTAAAGGCATCATGAGATCCTGATCCTCCTCCAGTCTCCCCTTTGCCAGCCTCCTATTTCCCCAAGCTCCAAAGCTTTGCTGTGGCTTTAATTTTTCCCTTGCCTATGCAGTCTTTTGCCAAGTCTTGCCAATTCGTCTCCTACAGACAGTCACCAGAATCCTTTCTTTCCTATCTTCTTGGCGCCTGTGTTTGAATTAAATCCTTATGGCCTCTTGTGCGAGTGACTCCTTCTAGTCTGTCCTCTTTCTGAATTTTATCCATTTAAAAATATTTTTAGTTGTAGACAGACACAATACCTTTATTTTATTTATTTATTCTTATGTTGTGCTGAGGATCAAACCCAGTGCCTAACACATGCTAGGCAAGTGCTCTATCATTGAGCTACAGCCCCAGTCCGTGAATTTTACCTATTTTTATCAGATAAATCTTCCAATGCTGATCCTGAATCACATCACTCCCCTTCTCAAAATGGATTCTATTGTCATGCATAACTAAAAACAACTAATAAAAAAAACCTTCAATGACTGTTACATGTGGATTAAAATCTAAACTCCTTTGACTAGGTAGGTCCCAAGATGCTTCCTAAACTAGCCTCAACCTACCTTTCCAAGTATATTCCCTCTGACTCACCATTTACTTACCTTCTTAGTTCTCATGGTGGACACTAAGCAGCCTAAGAATAGGGAGTTACACATCTTTGCATTCCCAGTGCTTGGCATTAATAAGTTCACTATAATGAACTATAATGTAAATAGTGAGTCTCATTGCTTATGCTTTTTCCTTTGCCTGAAATTTCTTGTGCTCTGGCACCTCTGTGTATTCACATTCCCTTTGTGCTGCTGGGTCACTTCATGTTCAACCCTTTCCCTGATCCTCCCAGCTTAAAGCATTTGTTCCTTTACTAGGACTCTTCCTCAGGACCTGCTTTCTGACCCTCTTTCCTAACATCTGCTACTCTCTGTTCTACAGAGCTGTACTCAAACATGTCATTTCTCTTCCTCTAGACTATATGTTCCTCAACAGCAGGACTTGGGTTTGAGTCTCCCTGCCTACTTCCTGATATCCACTCATTCAACTTTCATTTAGCAATTACTTATTGAGCACATGTTCTGTGCTGAGCGTACAGCAGTGAGCAAAATAAACAAAGTTCCTTTCCCTTGGAGTTTACATTCTAGTAGTGCCCATTAATGACATGCTTCAATCATTGATTGGCAAACATTGATTATTTTTGCTCTCTGGCAGTTTTAGTTCTGAGTGCTAGAGATGCATATATGAAGAAAAATAGTCTTTGTCTATGAGGAGTTTGCTATACAGTAGGGAGATAGCCACACAAATAAATGAATATGATATATTATTATACAATATTTCTTAGCAGAAACACCATTAGCATTTTGAACAGGAAAGTTGTTTGTGCTGAGGGCCTATCCCCTGCATTGTGAAGTGTTTATCTCCCTGATTACCATCCCTGTAGATTCCCCCTCAGAATGCCTCTACACATTTCAGAATGCCTCTACACATTTCAGAATGCCTCTACACATTTCAGAATGCCTCTAAACATTTCAGAATGCCTCCCATAGAGATGGCATCTACTTCTCTTACATGGAGAAGTCCCATCAAGGGAGCACTTTATGAACTCAGCCTGGGAAACAGGCATGGGACAGGGAGGAACAGAGTGTTTTGAAGCATTAGACCTATGATATGAAGAAGGCATCAGGTAAAGGCAGACATGACTTGGAGATGATCCACAGCCATCTGCATCCCAGCACCTCTCACTTGTGAGCTGTGACTGGGGTAAAAGGTACAGGTATAAGGGCAGTGTTAGTGAACATGTAGAGAGGAATCCCAGGCTGTGTTGCCCTGGGCTTTTTATGTTGTGCTAACAGGATTAGCATTAGTGCTGGAAGAAAAGGAGAAATAATTGGAAGGTTTGAACAGGGCAGAGGCATAATGAGATCAGTGAGATTGTTTCCACAGTTGAGGGGAAGGTGGTAAGAACTTGAACTGGCAGTAGTGATGAGTCCTCTATCATCTGTTGAGGAAGAAAGTGAATATACCCTCAGGTTATAAATAGCTTCTGTCACTACTTTATTATAGGACTTTCCCGGAAATACAAACTTTTAGGGGATAAAGAAACACCTGAAAAACTCAAAGGCCTGTACATTGTAAAGATTTAATCTACAGAATCATCACTGCTATTTCCCTCCCCGCCTTTTTTTTTTTTTTCTGGTACCAGGGATTGAACCCAGGGGTGCTTAACCACTGAGCCACATACCCAGCCCTTTTTTGTATTTGTATTTAGAAATAGGGTCTCGCCAAATTGCTTAGGGCCTCGCTAAATTGCTAAGGCTGGCTTTTGAATTTGTGATCCCAGCCTCCCAAGCCACTGGGATTATAAATCTTCACCACCACACCTGGCTATTTACCCCTTCTTGAGAGGTCCTGTGCTTGGCTAAGGAGGCATCTCCATGCTGGCAATTGGCACACTACATTCCCTGACAATGCTAGTGTCTGTGAATGTGGTCACAGGTCCACGTAGATAGATACCATCAGGAGGAAGGGGAAGCCCAGAAAGAAGCCCAGATTCTGTGTGTTGCAGTCAAGTTTAGTGCTGATGATGCAGAAGGTCCCTCCATGACCTTTGCCATTGAATCCTAGTCCTGCACAACCCCAAAGCCCATCCCAGAACTTTTCTCACAGTGTACTGTTTGGGCTTTGAACTATCTTTCTCCTCTGCTAGACCATTGGCTCCTTGGATAGCCCCTTAGCAGATGGTGGTTAATGAGTGCATTTTTTCTCTTTTATTTACTTTCAAACTTTGTCAAAACATGTATGCTTTCAGAGTTGTGGTAGGTTTTCCTAATTAATGCATTTTTTTACATCTGCATTCTTTCCTGTGTTTTTTAGTTGCATGGTAATGAATTTTGTCCTGTTTTGGATGCAACATTCGTAATGGTGGCTCGTGATGCTGAAAATAAAGGGTAACTGCTATTTTTCCATAATTCTTTATTTTGAACAATTTGAAAGATACATAAAACTAGAAATAAACTATAATGAACTTCCATACATTCATCATCTGGACTTAGCAGCTGTAATTGTAACATTTTTTGCCAAATTTACTCCATTTATTTTTTTCTTTAAAGAAAATTATAATATTTTAAAGCAAATCTCAGACATAATGACATTTCACCTCCAAATACTTCAGTGTAGGCATCTTTATAAAAATGGGGATATTTTATTTATTAACATGTATTCATGTATTAATTACACATCTTAATGGGGTTCAGTATGATATTTTCATATATGCATACAGCATGCACTGATCAAATCCAACCATCCTTTTGCCAACAATCTCTAGTAATCACTAATCTATTTTCAGGTAATCTCGTTTAGCTTTCACCCATTTCACTACAAATGACTATGTGGCTGAATAATACTCCATATACTGAATAATATGTCATATTCTTTATCCATTGATCAGTTTCTGTGTATCTTGGCTGATTCTGTATTTTAGCTATTGCGAATAGTGCTATAATAAACATGGGTGTTCAGATATCTCCTTTGTATGCTGATTTTATTTCCTTTTTGAATATATACACAGAAGTGGGAGAGAGATATAGTAGATTCCTTCTTTCCCTTTCTACTTTCCTTCTTTCTTCACCCCACCCCCCTTTTTTTATACTGTAGATTGAACCTAGGGAAGCTCTGTCACTGAGCTACATACCTAATTTCCCCTTTTTTGAGACAGTGTCTTGCTAAGTTGCCCAAGTTGGCCTCAAACCTGTGATTCTCCTGCCTCAGCCTCCCAAATACCTGGTATTGCAGGTATCCAGCTTGCTGTGTCCAGCTTGATAAATCTATTTCTAAAAATATGTTATGTATTATGTTCTGAATAATGGCTGTTCTAATTAAAATTTCCAACAAGAGTTCACTCTCCTCCATAACATCACCAGCATTTTTTGTTTTGCAATGCTGGGAATTGAACCTAGGGTCTCACACATACTAGGGAAGCAATCTACCACTGAACCACACCCATAGCCCTACTTTTTGATAATAGCCATTCTAATTGGGGTGACATGGTATCTCATAGTTTTGATTTGCATTTTTCTGGTGGCTAATGATATTAAACGTTTTTTCATATATTTGTTAGCCATTTGTATCTCTTCTTTTGAGAAGTGTTTATTCAGATTTTTTGTATTTTAGTTGGATTACTTATTTCTTTTAATTGTTTGAGTTCCTTGTATTTTGTGAATATCAACCTCTTGTCAGATGCACAGTTCTTGTCAGATGTACAGTTTGCAAGTATTTTCTCCCATTCTTTTTTGTAATATATTTATTTTTTAAAAATTTTTTTAGGTGGACACAATATCTTTATTTTACATTTATGTGGTGCTGAGGATCAAACCCAGTGCCTCGTGCATGCTAGGCGAGCATTCTACCACTGAGCCACAACCCCAGCCCTCTCCTATTCTTTATGTTATGTCCATATTGTTGATAATTTCCTTTGCTATGCAGAAACTTTTTAGTTTAGTGTACTCCTATTTGTTTATTTTTGCTTTTGTTTCCTGTTCTTTGGGATGTTTTAAAAAAATCTTTGCCCATTCCAGTGTCCTGAAGTGTTTTACCTGTTTTCCTATGCCAGTTTCATGTCTTATACTTAAGTTTTTAATATATTTTCAGTTGATTTTTCTAACTGGTGAGAGATAAGGGTCTAGTTTCCTTCTTTTGAATGTGGATATCTAATTTTTCCAGATCCATTTATTGAAAAGATTGTTCTTTCTGTGGTGCATGTTCTTAGCACCTTTTTTGAGAATCAGTTGACCATAGATAGGTGGGTTTGTGTCTAGGCCTTCTATTCTGTGTCTATTCTGTGTGTCTGTTTTGATGCCAGTACATGGTGTTTTGTTTACTGAAGCTCTATGTGTATTGAAATCAGGTATTATGATGCCAAAAATGAGGATATTTTCTTAAATAATTACATTACTGGGCTGGAGATGTATCTCAGTGGTAGAGCACTTGCCTAACATGCATGAGATCCTAGGATTGATTCCCACTACTGAAAACAAAACAAAAAAAACCTCAAGATTACATTATCATTGTCATGCCTAACAAATAGCAAGTCCTTAATATAATCTAACATTACGTTCATATTTAATTTTTCCCAAATCTATTTTAATGATATTAGTTCATTAGTTAGTGACATGGTTTTCCCACCTTTTTGCTTTTGAAAAAAGGTTATTTGTGAGCCGGGCATGGCTGTTCATACCTGTAATCCCAACAACTCAGGAGGCTGAGGCAGGAAGATTATAAGTTCAAAGCCAGCCTCAGCAACTTAGTGAGGCCCTAAGGACTTAGTAAGACCCTGTCTCAAAATAAAACACAAAAAAGGGCTGGGAATGTGGCTCAGTTAAGCAACCCTGAGTTCAATTGCTGGTACCAAAAAAAAAAAAAAAAAGTATTTGTGAACCTATGGTTTTATTAGGTGTATTTAAATACATTAATGTCATTGTTCTCTTTTTTTTAGTTGTAGATGGGCATAATACCTTTATTTTTTATTTTTACGTGGTTCCGGGGACCGAACCCAGTGCTTCACGCATGCTAGGCAAGCACTGTACCACTGAGCCACAACCCCGGCCGATAGTCATTGTTCTTGATGCTCAAGTGTTTTAGTCAGCTTTTTCGCTGCTGTGACTAAAGGATCTGACTGAACAACTATAGGGGAGGAAAATTTTATTTGAGGGCTCACAGTTTCAGAGGTCTTAGTTCATAGAAGGTTGGCTCCATTTCATGAGGGGCTCGAGATGAGACTGAACATCATGGTGGAATGTGTGGCAGAGGGAAGTAGCTCACATCATGGCGATCAAGAAGCAGAAAGAGACTCCACTCTCCAGATACAAACATATACACCAAAGCCACACCCTAATTCCTACCTCTTCCAGCCACACCCTACCACTTCAGATATTAGGCTAAGGCTATAACCCAATCATTCTCCTCCAAACCTTCTTGCATTGTCTCACAGGTGAGATTTGGGGGACATCACATCTAATCCATAACACTCAGTGTGTGCTATCTTTTGTCAGTAGGGGCTCCCATGTCCTTTCCACCTTTTTCCACTAAGTCTTTGATACCTTCTTGCTCTCTGGTGTGACAAGAAGTCTTGGGCAAATTTTACACTTCCTGCCCAGGCCTGGAGTCAGCCATTTTTCCAAGGAATCCTGAAGTACTTTTTAGAAGGAGCTAGTATTCAGAGATCAAAATCTGGGCACTGGAACTATATATTGCTATGATTTTGTCACTGTTTCTAGGGCTTTTCAGGATACAGAGCTAGGATATACATCAAACAACAACAACAGCAAAAAGTTCCTACAAAATCTCATGAGCAGATTCAGTCATTTTCAAGTCAAATTTAACTGTACAGACATTTACTTATCTTTTTTCTCTTAAATTGAATTTTTGGCTCCCAACAACAGTTTTATCCAAGGCATCCAAACAGAAAACTGTCTAATTGTGGGCTGAGAGGGAATGTTATCAGATTTTTCCTTGTGCAAGACAGAATCCAGCAGCCTATGAGAGATCTCATTTGTACTAGAAACTTGATTAAGCAGCAAGAAATGAGAACTCTTTCCTATTGTATAGCAAACTTGCTTGGAAAACCAAGTCAAGAATGGAATATACCAAGAATATATACCAATATATATACTAATGAAATATAGCTAAGGATAGCTCCCATCTATACCTATCCTTCCCTCTATCCCTTAGCTGACCTACTGTGGACAGTGGCTGGCCCGATTCCTTTCCTTTTTTTTGATATTTATTTTTTAGTTTTAGCTGGACACAATATCTTTATTCTATTTTTATGTGGTGCTATTTTATTTTTATGTGGTGCTGAGAATTGAACCCAGTACCTCACACATACTAGGCGAGTAGTGCTACCACTTGAGCCGCATCCCCAGCCCCAGGCCTGACTCCTTTTCAAACAGCCTGGGCATTGGTCCAAATTTCTCTTCTAGCCGATGCATTACAGTTTTCAAAGCTGCTATTTCAATTCTTTATTTCCACTATTGTTTCATAAAACCTTTGGATTCTACTACAGAACAGGGCTCTTTTCCCTTTTTTATTTTGAAAGATTTGATGCTTACAGAAAAGTAGGGAGAATAATGCAATGAACCCCCATTGTGCTTGTCACCTGAATTCACCAGTTAACATTGTACCTCATTTGCCTTACTTCCTTGCTCTCTATAAATACACATATACACACATTTTTCCTGAATTATTTGAAAATAAGTTTGAGACTGCTTCACCCCTTAGTAGTTAAGCATGTATCTAACAGAAACAAAAAATTCTGCTACACAACCTCAATGCCTTTGTTATAGCCAAGAAACTTAACGGTGATGCAGTTATATTATTTAATATGATTCACATTCACATTTCACCAGTTGTCCCTAAAATATCTTTATAGCTCCCCCCCTCCATTCAAGATCTGATCAAGGATTTTGTGCTGTAGTTGGTTATGGTTCTTTAGAAGAGTGCCCCTACCAATTTTCTGTTTTCTAAGACACTGACATTTTTGAAGAGTCTAAATTAATTGTCTTATAGAATGTTATACCATCTGTATTTGACTTTTTTCTTGTGATCAGAATTACACTTTTTCAAAAGCATCAGTATTCATTTTATGTGAACTTTCCATTGTACTGATGAGTATGTAATCAGAAGTCTTCCTTAATTTTTCCAATATTCTTGTGTAAGCAATATTCAAAATGAATGGCAGAAGTCTTTAAAACTAGTAATTGTTCACCTTCAATTTTTATTAGATAAAGGCACATCTTAAATTGGATTCTTTTCTTTTCTCCTCTTTAGGCCAGCATTTGTAAATCCACTCATCCCTGGAAATGTGGAGGAAGAAGAGCTCTTTAGACAAGGAGAATGTACATGAACTTGTTTATAATAAAATAAGTTTAAGAAGTACATTAATTATACTGCAGAAGAAATTATTTAAGATCATTTTTGGAATCCTCATACCAATCAAATGTCTTACTCATACCAAGAATTTATTGAAAATACCTTTTTTTTGTTCTTTGGACTCCATGATTTGAGCAATTTTTTTGACCAGATGAAGTTAAGTGAAGCCATTTGTTTTCTCATTTTTAATGCTGGTCAGGGCTCTAGACCAGGATAATAACAAGTTTTCTCTCATTGAACTGATAACTGGTATAATTTCCATCTGAAAGCAAAGACTCACTGAAGAAATTTGGGGAGGGGACATGTTGGGGATTGAACCATGGCATTGTGCATGCAATGCAAACACTCTGCCATTGAACTACGTCCTGAGCCCCTCACTAGAAATTTTATGTGGCCTCTGTAGCCTTCTCTTGGATATAAGTATTCTGGTAGAATTTTTTTTAATTTTTATTTTTTAATTTGTTCTAATTAGTTATACATGACAGTAGAATGCATCTTGAAACCTCAAAATACTGCATTTTAGGCCCCAAGGCACCCAGGTCAGGACCCCATGTGCCTTAGTGTGACCCTCCTAATCATAGCTTTTTATTCTCCTATGTTCTAGTGAATAAGGGGAAAAGAATTGCTTTCAGTTCTACTTCATTACTCAAAATGGCTCCCAGTGCCAAGGAGAGGAATACCATACATGAGATGTTTCTTAGCACACTGGATCCAAAGTAAGTTAGGATGACGAGAATCCAAGAAAGCACTTAAGCTTTGGCCTTTTCCAGAGCCAAACCTCCCTGAGTGTATTGGGAGTTATTTGTGAATGTTTTCCTTCTCAACAGTGAAAACATATTGTTAACAGGGTTTAATCAATCTCTGTTTGTATAGGACTATAAGTTTTCAGAGTCGAGTTTTGCCTCCTAATGCAGTGTGGATGGAGAGTACAAAACTGAAGAGTTTGGAAGTTTGCCACCCTCAGGTATTTAGAAATTTGTGAGAAATCTTCTGAATAGACTAGCTTTGCAGTCATGATATTTGTCTGAGATTTGATGGACCTTTTAAACTGACTATATGTTGTGGTGTAGTTAATTCCTTTGTTCTGTATATGAAGGTGAACATAAACTTCTTTTTATCAATCTTTACTTATGTCCTATAGGAACGGAACATTTTCAATCGTATCTTTGGTGGTTTCCTTATGAGGAAGGCATATGAACTTGCATGGGCTACTGCTTGCAACTTGGGGTAAGTTAAATTTAAATGGTCTTAATTTTTTAAAATATTTATTTATTTTTTAAATACATGACAACAGTGGAATGCATTACAATCCTTATTACACATATAGAGCACAATTTTTCATACCTCTGTATATAAAGTATGTTCATGCCAACTTATGCCATTATACATGTACTCTTTTTTTGCATTGCAATTCTTAATAACCCTTATGCCACAATTTTTCATATCTCTGTTTGTATATAAGTATGTTGGCCCCAAATTCAAATCTTCATACATGTATTTTGTATAATGATGTCCATCACATTCCACCATCCTTGCTAATCCCCTTCCTCCTCCCTTTCCCTTCCACCCCTCTTCCCTATCTAGAATTAATGTAATCTTCCCATGCTCTCCCTCCCTACCCCACTATGAGTCACGCCCCTTGTATCAGAGAAAACATTCAGCATTTGTTTTTTTTTTTTTTTTGGATTGGCTAACTTCACTTAGCATTATCTTCTCCAATGCCATCCATTTACCTGCAAATGCCATGATTTTGTTCTTTTTTAGTGCTGAGTAATATTCCATTGTGTATAAATGGTCTTAATTCTGAGAAGCAATTTATACTACTTTTGTTAGTCAGCTTTGTGTCACTGTGACCAAAATACCTGATAAGAACAACATGCAGTGGTGCATGCCTGTGATCCCAGCAACTTGGGAGGCTGAGACAGGAGGATCGTGAGTTCAAAGACAGCCTCAGCAAAAGTGAGGCACTAAACAACTCAATGAGACCCTGTCTCTAAATAAAATACAAAATAGGGCTGGGGACATGGCTCAGTGGTTGAATGCCCTGAGTTCAGTCCCTGGTACCACCCCCCGCCAACAAAAAGAACAACTTACAGGAGGAACAGTTTATTTTAGTTCATTTTCAGAAATTTATTCCATGGTTGGCTGACTTCATAGCTCTGGGCTCGAGGTGAGGCAGAACATTATGGCAGAAGGGTATGAGAAAGGAAAGCACTTTAGGACATAGCAAGCAGGAAGCAGTGAGAGAAAACTTTGCTCACCAGGGATAAAATATAAACCCTAAAGGCATGCCCCTGTGACCTACCTCCTCCAGCCACACCTCCCCTGCCTATAGTTATTTCCTGATAGCCCATTCAGCTACCTGCCTACAATTACCACCCAGCTAATCCATATCAGTGGATAAATCCATTGATTAGGTTACAATTCTCAAAATCTATTCATTTCACCTCTGAACATTATTGCTTTTTCTCTCATGAGATTTTGGGGGACAACTCATATCTAAACCATAGCAGGTAACATTTCATAGCAGGGTAACATTTCAGATCTAAACCATAACACCATCCCACTGAAAAGAAACGTTTTGAACCAGTCTGGATATATTTAGGAATATGTTATATCTTTTCATTTCCTTATTTGTGGTGCTAGGCATTGAACCCAAGGATTTGCACGTGTTAGGCAAGCACTCAACCATTAAGCTACATTTCCAGCCCAGAAATGTTTCTTTTAACATTAAAACTTTTTAAATTTGTTCTTTTTAGTTATACATGGTAGTAGAATCTATTTTGTTGTTTTCAAATGAATACCACACTGATACCAGCTGAGTTTGATCTTCATTTTTTTAAAAATATTTTTTAGTTGTAAAGGGACACAATACCTTTATTTATTTATATGTGGTGCTGAGGATCAAACCCAGTGCCTCACACATGCTAGGCAAGTGCTCTACCACTGAGCCACAACCCCAGCCCATGACCTTCATTTTAAGAAGGCTGTTGCCCTGAATTAGTAAATTAGTGCATTAAAGACCTGAGAAAATATGGGAATAACATGTAAAAGGGTAAATATAGTGATTTTGGCCCTATGTGGTTGAATTGGCATCTCTTACCATTCATCACTGGTGTGATGATTTCCCCCTTCCCTAAATTTATTCTATGTTCATTTTTTAAAAATATTTTTTTAGATGTTGACAGACCTTTATTTTATTCATTTATTTATATACGGTGCTGAGAAACGAACCCAGTGCCTCATACATGCTAGGCAAGTGCTCTACCACTGAGCCAGAACTGTAGCTCCTCTTTGTTCATTTTTGTTTTGCTTCTGTTGGTTGGGAAAATTCAAGATCATCTGAATTTTGTAATTCACCCAAATTCTACTTTTCTCCAATAGTGGTTCCCGATCATTTGTGGTAGCAGTGGATGATATCATGTTTCAAAAACCTGTTGAAATTGGCTCATTGCTCTTTCTTTCTTCACAGGTAGGTGAGAGGTGAAAAGCTTTTTTTAATGTCAGTTGGGCTTAAGAGAGGTTTCTATATTCTGAAGCCATTGATTCTTTTATGACTGCCTTTCTTCCCCTTCTTAATGCAGTTGACTAACTATAGCATTTCTAATCTGTTAGGTATGCTTTACTCAGAACAATTACATTCAAGTCAGAGTACACAGTGAAGTGGCCTCTCTTCAGAATAAAGAGCATATGACCACCAATGTCTTTCATTTTACATTCATGTCAGAAAAAGAAGTGCCCTTGGTTTACCCTAAAACATATGGAGGTAAGCAGTGATTATTGCTTTTCCCTAATGAAAGGAAGAAATTTTAAAGAAAAAAAAAATTTCAATTCTTGGGATTGAACCCAGGGCCTCACACATGCTAGGCAAGAGCTCTACTGCTGAGCTACATCCCCAGCCTTCTTTTAAATTGTAACAGGAAGTGCAACAATGCTTGTCAGTCCAAGAGCATGTCCTTAAGAAATTTTGCTTTTGAGGTTCTATAGCCATGAAGGCCAAAGACGCCTCCATAGTCCTCAGGTGGCTGTTGCTGTTCTTCCCACCGGTTATCTGCAGACAAGCAACCACTGGTAGTGAAAGCCTAGTCCTCCCAAAGGAAAGGGACGGGAGTTATGACCTGTTTTCTTAGGAATGCTGCACACGTCCAGCCCAGTAGTGCATCCCTATTGCTGGTTTTGCATGCTTACTGCTGCCTGAGTGTTCCCAAATAGTGTCTTGTTTGTATGCTTTTATAGTATGTTTCAAATTTCTCCAGGGTTATCTTTCTTGTGTTTCAGAATCCATGTTGTATTTAGATGGGCAGCGGCATTTCAGCTCCATGAGTGTCCCTGTGAGCTTGAGAAAAGACTACCGTGTGGAGCCCTAGGAAAACCTCACTTGTTGCAAACCAGCACTCCACCTGCAGTGACATAGTGCCTAATGAAAGCCAATCAAGTGTATTTGGTTTTAGTATTGCTTCTTATCCTTAATATACAAGGAGAATGTATTCAGCTTTTAGGATATTCAGAAAAGCAGAACGAGAGCAGCTGGGTGAGGCTGAGATGATAAAGTTATTAAACAATAAATACTTTAAAAACTGTATTAATTGTGAACCTACATGTTGGCCCTCCATCCCTATCTACTAAAGGAATTAGGGCAGAATGCCTTTATATACAGTTGGACACATTCTTTTCTTACTCATACTGCAGCAATCAATATATAGTTTCCTGCCAGGGTAATTGGATGACATTCTCTAAACCTGACCAATTCCCCTATGTCATCTAAAACCCCATCAACCTTACATGATTGTATTTGCTTCCATTTACTTCTCAGCTTTTTTTAGCAGAGGGTATATGAAAAATTAGAGTGAAAGGATCCAACAAAGGATATGGCATCTGCAAAGAGTTGTGGGAAGATTTAGTTTTAAAATTCCATTAGGAGGTATTTAGAGATGGCATAGATGAAGAAACACAGGAGCATCTGTTCATTCTTTCATTCATTAGACAGTTATTCAGCACACTGTGCTAGGGGTTGGGCAGGATACATCTGATTTTAAAATAATAGCTGAATGAGCTTATAGAGCACTTACCATATGCTAGGTAGACACCACCCTCGGTACTTGACATGTATTAGCTTATTTATTTCTTCCAATCAGCATTGTGAGGCAGGTTCTGTAACTTTTGTAGGATTAGTCCACTCAGAAAACTGAAGCACATATAGGTTAAGTAACTTGCTCAAACCCAATATTACAATATCACCTAGGAATGGAAAGGAAGGCATTCCAAACTTTTTGTGTGTGTGTGCTAGGGATCAAAACCAGGGCCTTGCATATGCTCTACGTTGAGTTACAACCCCAGCCAGCATTCCTATTAATCTGCAGCCAAGACAAGACAGTTTATTACCCGAAGGGAGGAAAACATGATCAAATTTGGAAGAGACCAAAAAAAAAAAAAAAAAAAAAATCAAAACAACAACAAAACACTACATAGAAGGAAAAAGAAATCTTTGAAAATGCTGTTCCTGAGATGAAAATAGTCTCCTTTGGTATGGGTTCCAGGTCACAAATGTACCTCTGACTTGGAATTAGCTAGAGTGTTTTAAAAATTTTTATATTAATTTATGTAATTTTATTAAAATCACAATATCATTCACCTCTGGCATAAAAAGTCCTGGGAACAAACAGCTTTCTCTCAGAGGCATGCAATTTAACTCAATGGGATCAAGCCAGTGCTATACTATAGTAGCCTGTTTCTGCACATTGTAATATCATCCAAAGATATACCTGGTCCTTCAGTATATTTTTCATAACTACCTATAATATGGTGGGAACTGGTGAGTCTAGGTGGCTAATGGGGGCTCTGGGAACTTTTGTGGGTATGTTAAGTGGAGCTCAGTTAAGAGATCTAATACATACTATTGTATATATTATGCATTATATAATTAGCTATTTGTTGCTGTGCAATGAAGCTTTTTCTAGAACCTTTTTTTTGCTATTATAAACAGTGCTGCAGGAACTATCCTAAATATCTAAAACATTTGACTCCTAAATTATTTCCTTAGGCAAAGTGTAAAGAAGTGAACTATTTAGGTTAAATAATATGTATACAATAGTATGAAGGCTTTGAATATGTATTTTATTTTTATTTACTTATTTGCTTTTTCTGTGGTACTGGGATTGAATACAGGGGCACTGAACCACTAAACCACATCAGCCCTTTTTATTTTTTGAGACAGGGTTCTCACTAAGTTGGGCCTCTCTAAGTTAGGGCCTCTCTAAGTTGCTAAGGCTGTGATTCTCTTGCCTCAGCCTCCCTAATGGCTGGGAATACAAGCAAGTACCACTACGTCTGGCTCTATATGTATTTTACATAAGCCTCTAGAACAGTTACACAAACTCACCTATCAGCAATTTTTCTGAACTTTGCTATTTTGTCTTTCCTTGTGAAAACACCTTTGCTGTTTTTTTATTCGTCTTTGCTGTTTTGAGAGGTGAAAAATGACATTTGTTAATTTCCTTTCTTTGAATTCTCCTGAGATTGAAATGAAATTGCTTTTGTCTTTTTAATTAATTTGTTCAAGCCATTCTGGAGGTCAGAATCTTAACCCAAAATTGTTACCATCTACCAATACAGGAGTAAGAACTATGGGTTTTAATTTTTAATACAGGACTTTAAGTAATGAGATGCAGCAAATTATAAAGGATATAACAATTGGTTCTGGATTATTAGTGTTTTTTCACTCTCAAGGAACACATAAGAAGTTTTTATTTTTTAATAATTCTTTTAATTTTCAGATTCACAACATTTGCATAACTATGAGAAAACATTTTCATGCCCTTCCAACAAAATAAGAAAACATAGCAGTACTTTCTAATAATCAAAACAAAATTTCATTATTAACAAAAAGTCATATATACTAATTGGGAAATTAAAGTTTATCTTAGAATCGACTTCAGTCAGGAAAGCTTCTTTTGGACAAATGAAGAGTTAATGTACATATCCTAGTTAAATAAAAAATGTACATATCCTAGTTAAATAAAAAAATACATAACACAATGGGCTATTCTAAGATTTATAACCCTTTTGAGGAGTTCCAACAATGTCTATTCTAAAACATATAGTAAAATAGCTCTTAGAAAAAAATTGATGAGCAGACTTTAGTTTTAGACAAACTTGCCTACTTTCTGATTATATCACATCACCACAATCAATGCAATGCATTTTTTTCTGAGAAAAAGCAAAACTAAAATTTAAATTAATACAGAATTCTTCACATATTCACCCAGTCTATCAAATATAACTCATATAATAAAACCTACAGTACATATAATTATGCACCAAAAATGTAGATCTGTCAAGTATACAAAAATTAACAATTTCATTTACCCAAGTCAAAGAAAAAACTTTAATAACATAAAAACACAAATGTAAGCTAGATCTACTTTGAGGACATTTTATCATATTTTTACATCAAAAGGATGTATGCTTGGACAACAGCAGAAATGCTGTTAAAGCTGTTTGCTATAAATTAAAATTAATTAAACAAAAGATCAAAAAGTCTCCAAGTTAAACTTCACAAAACAAAAACACTGTCTTCTGATTTAATTTTCAGGATAAGACAGGGCAAAATGCAAGTATCTTGCTTTCTATTTCTGTCTATAAACAAAAGTTCAATATCAATATAAATGATACTATAAGGAAATAAACACATAGTTGTGTTTCGAGTTTCACAACATAAAAAATACTGTGATATAATGCTCTCACAGTAAATTTTCATTTTTCTATTGTGTTATTTTTTGTTTGTTTGTATTGATGGTTGTGCTGGGGGAAGAAACCCAGGGCACCTCACAAGAAGTGCTCCAGCACTATTACACTCACAAACTCTTAAAAATTTTTTTTTAACAAGTAACAATTAGTGAATGAATTGGGAATAGAGAACAAAAGTGAAAGATATTTTTATATCCATAAGAATCAAACTTAGTTAATCACAGCTGTTAGCAATACAATAGAATAGCTGTGTGTGTGTGTGTGTGTTTTGCTGGGGCTTGAACCCAGGGCCAACTGAGCCATCTCTCCGGCCCCAGAGTGGCTGTTTTAAAAGACAGCAACATAGCTCTGGCATTTACTCTGTTGCTATGTTTTTGCCCTGGATTGAACCTAGGACCTCACATATACTGGACAAGCACCTTTCCACTAAGTTACACCTAAAACAGCTATTAATAACAGAAATGATATGGATCCTTATTACTCCCTTTTACAGAAACATATTTGAACATTCTCTGTAATCGCATGGTCCTTTAAAGACTGCGTTTGCTTACAGAACAGATGACAATTTCATAAAGCTTTAAACCATAAATTTTTAAGGATTCTGACAGAACAGACAGCTTCATAATACAGCTTCAGTACATCAGAAAATACTCCCTTTACCCATGTATTACTTTGTATATTTCTCACACTTTTGAGAAACATTTTTTTCTGTAAGAAATGAGCACTTTTAGATAGATTATAATTACCTCTAGTAGAATTTGTCATTATCCGTATCTTTTTGATCCGATTCACCTGGATCTTAAAAGAAGGGTGCTCATTTTAATCTGTTGAATACCTTATGTCAGTTTATCTTCTGGACTTTTTTTTTTGGACTTCCCTTCTCTTACCAAGTTGGATGGAGATGAGGATGCAGCTCGCAAAGGATACCCATCTGGGGATCCTTTTTGCCGATTTGGATACATTTCTTGTTTATCCACAGACTTCTGAAGTTGTATCGCCAACAACCTATCCTCTTCTTCTTGTTTATGTCTCTCAAAAAGTTGGTGCTCCAAAGTCATCATTTTTTGGGTGAAGCTTACTTCTGATTCCTCTTCATCCGAGGGAGATTTCTGGAACAGTTCTCTTTTTGCAGAACGGCATGGATTGTTGACTGCTTCAGATGAAGATTCCTCATTTTTTCTTTTGGCAATATTTTTGCTGATCAGTAGGTGAGACCCTTTTTGTTTCTCAAAGGTGTTGTTTCCAGTTTTCGGTGTAGTGCTCTTACTCTGAGCTTTGCCATAAGGCTTGACTGCAGCTTGTATAGAGTGGTGAGCTCCAGGTTTAAGTCTTTCAAGCACGACAAACAACTCTTTATGACAACAGCTTGGGCTGGTTTGGGCTTTACCTTCAAGGTGTTTTTCCATACCAGAGACATACAACCGTGGCACAGGTGTCTCCATGGAAGACTTTGCACCTTGTTTTTTAATTTCAAGGCCTATTCGTGAAGAAACTGTTGGCATGTTTTCTTCAATTTCTTGCTGCATTGGGCTTTTATCATCACTGTCCATGTTCTTGGATACGTAGTTTTTTCTGACTTCTTGTACAACCTCAGACTGTGATGCTGGCTCAAATTGATGCAGAGGTGACAAATACCTGTCTTCAATATGTCTTTGTTTGTTCTTTCTTTTCTTTTGTGACTTTGTTGCAACTGGTTCAGATTCTGCAGAATTCAGAGGAGAAGCCAAGATACTTCCGTCAGAGGAACTGTTGGCGCTTAGGTTTCTTGCCTGTTCCTCCTTTTTCAAGTCCAGGTCACTCTGCCTCCGTCTTGTCTTTTTCTCTAGCTCCTCCTCC